AGTACAGCGCGTCGCTTCGCAGTGGGTGCGCGCGCTGTGGGGCCAACTCGGCTTGCGTCGAGCCTTGAGGACGCCCCTGACCCCACCCGGGATGAAGATCACCCAACGCTGCGCATCACCTACACGCTGGGGAGCGAACTCCGAAGGCCCGGCGCGCCCAAGTGCGCGCCCCCTGTTGGTGACTTCGGCTCCGGTCTCCACGCTCCTTCCCAGAGGCGCGAGACACGCCAACCTTTTGCCTAGGAATACCAGGCCTTCAACTAGAGCCAGGAAGGAGCACTGGAGGTCCGGAGCAGCTGGAACGCCCTCCTGCAACAAGATTGGCCCTGCGTCGACTCCTACCCTCGGGACTCCGCGGGGCGTCGAGACGGCCGACCCTCCGGTAGCACCGACCTGGTGGCGCGCAATACGCCAACCAAGATTGCCAACAATGCCGTACTGGTACGGCGCCAAGACGGCTCATTGTTATGAGCCGTGAGGAATACCCGAGTAATGGGGGACTCCCCGAGGCCCGATACCTGCATGGGATAAGTCCCATAGCAGACGACAATCAACGTTGCAATTCGTTCGGGAAAGTTCGGGGAAGTTCGGGAAAAGTGCAAGACCAGCAGTCAATAAGAAGAAGAAAGAAAAAGTGTAGGGAAGTGATAGGGAAAAGTAATTACTCTCTCACGGAACGGTTTGAAGATAATTGCTGTTTTATTCCCAAGGAATTCTTCCCTCAAAATAATACAGTCAACATCGAAGAATTAAGGCGTTGGGACCGGGACGACTTCGGAAGACCCGTAATCCCCGCCTGAACCTATTTTCTGAAAAGGAAGAGGTTATCGCCCTTGTGTGTTACTCCGTTGCGGAGATCACATACGTTGTTCCCGAACCCAACGTAGGCGTTATCAGTATATTAATTAGGAGGCCGGATCGAGAGAAGCCTCGATTCCCCCTTCTGTTTCTTAGTTAACGTTTGTCTGGTTCCTTTTCAATAGTTATATCGTCAATTGTAAAATAAAAAATAATTAACGTTGATCTATGGTTGTCAGTTGAGTTTGATTGATAGGGTAAAGGTTAAGGTTAATAACGGGAACGCATGTTAATGTCAACGTGTCGCTCTCGATCTGAAACGCGATGATCTCCAGACACTCTTACATGTGCGGACGGACATGCTTCATTGTGTTCACGCTTTCCTTCAATTCAATAAAAAGATTAGAGTTGTAAAACTGCATCTGCAGTGAGTTTAATTTCTTGCCTTGCTCCCCACATCCCAGCTTAAAATTAAATTTTATCAAAAATTTACACTTTACTGCCAAGATATTTATATGACTAAAATAAAGAATAGAATATGCTGATTCAAAAAGAGGAGTAATTTATTTCTAAACTCTTTCATTTCACATTTTGAAAGCGTTGTAGTGACGTACTTCCGGTATGGCTGCCTTGTATGGGTATGGGTGCTTAGTGTAATATATTACTTTCCTCTATGGTCATATTATATATTCAGTAATCTATGTCTATGGCTCATTCCTTTTTCGTGAGTGGTAAGCAGTGATATCTAAATCCTCAACTTTACCATATATTTATTTCAAAATTAATGCTGCAATATTTTCGGTATAACGGAGGATCTTGCTAAGGCATTTGAGGTTATAATATTTCCCCTTAATTGCATGCCGTTCGGTTTATCTGTAGCCCCGCGGGTTTTCACTAAGATTACAAAGGAAATTATGACCTATCGCAGGTAACGCGGTTTTCATTAAGTGTCTTATTTAGACGATATCATATGTATTGGAGATACTTATACAAGTGTATTGATAATGTTGATAAAACTTTGAAACTACTCGAGTTCCTAGGTTTCGTTGTTAATTATGACAAATGTATGTTAAAACCGCGACAATCCTGCAAATATTTAAGATTTTGTTATGATACCAATAATCTTAGCATAGAATTACCAGACAATAAGCGACGTTACAGTTGGTAACTAAATTTGCAAAGTTACAGTCGAGTCAGCTCGACTCATTGGTATATATACTAGTCTCCGCATGCCCAGCCGTTGAGTACGCTTGGGTGTACACTAAGATCTTAGCGTCAGAAGTTCCTTGCATTAGCGGAGACTCTAACAGTCATACTCCGTTAACTGCGGAGCTGTTTAATAAAACCTGATTGGGCCCAATCCGTTTAAACGCAAATACCTTGATTTTGGCATATCGACTATAATATGTATACATTTCTGAAATCTCTATGAAATTTCCTATAAACGAGTAAATATATTTAATAAAGTTTTAAAGTAATTAGTATAAGGAAATATTGAATAAAGTCAAAACTATCATATTTCTCAATGAAGCAAAGTTTTTTAATAGTTCAATTTTGTTTTATTTTAATCTTACATCTATTGTTTACAATATTTTATGTGCAAAATCATAGGCTACAATACAATTTTTTATCATAAAACGCATTAGTAATAAGCTTACAAGAACCCACAATCAACGTACACCGATGTAGAATGTAGTTCGGACCAGATGCGGCATTAATGCATTAGTCAATAAAAATAGTTTTTTTAATTCATTAAAAATATATACTTAAATTCATGAAGAAACACGTGGTTTTATCCAGGACTAGTTGAACATCTCTTTTTCATCACTTTTACGTGATTCAGTCTTGAACCTCTCTTTTTCTTTACATGATTCAGTCATCTTTCAATAGATCTTCCTAAGTTTTAGCTAATAAGTATTTCAAAGTACCTTAATCCGATATCAAAATTTTAGGTAAGTGCAATATTGAAAAATTAATTACTTTACTGAGCAAACAATTTAACAGCACTTGTACAGAAATAAAGATTCATTCATTCCCTCAAAAATCATAAAACCATTCAAGTGTCACTCCCGATGATGTAGAGTTTAACATTTTTTGTAAACAATACCCAATGCACCATAATATGTCGAGTGACAAAGGCGTTTAGAGGCGCCGCGAGGTGCGCGGCGGTTATATTACATTTCCAATAACCAACAACATTATTTCTCGAAAAGGTAACATATTTCCTTTAACACAAATAATAGCTACGAAATGATAAAATTTAATATAAATACATCTCTTCCTGAAATAAAAAAAATATTTATATATATTTTTAAAGAACCCACTTCTTATGCTCCAAAAATATGCCACAATTAAAGTCCGATTCTGCACTTTTTTGTGCATCATGTACTAGTTCATTAAAACATTTTTTATACGTGGTAGAGCCATGCTGCAGTTGTAGCACGAATAGGTCGGCTCGACCGGGGAAGGACCCCGCTCTCACAGAATACCAGCGTGAAATAGTAGCTTAATGCTTCTGTGTTTCGTATGGTGAGTGTAGAGAACCGGAGACCCTTTTTTACTGGAAACGATGTATTCCATCTTAGTCCTCACGGGTGACAAAGCATCTTCATTTTGATTTGTAATCGAGGATAGATGTAGATATCTATGGGCCGCAGCAACCACCTCAGGTGGACTGTGTGCTCGTTTGTCACCCTATCCTATAGAAAAAAAAATACAAAATAAAGAGGTGTATTCATTTCAACGATGAGAGCTGTTGTAGCTCAGAAGAGTCGTGGTAGCTCAGATGCTTAGCTCTCCCTGTAAATTTCACAGTACGCATAATAATAGTTACGAAGTCAAAATTAACCTACCTAATACTATATTAGAAGATTTGTTTTGGTGGTCGTCAAATATCGACACATCACGCAATTTTATTCGACAGCCAAAATTTGCCATCGAAAGGAGGATGGCCAAATCGTACCTGACAACGAAACGATAACGTCCCAATATGAAATATTTATGTAAAATACCCTTATTGTTTAAGGTCTTAAAACACACAAGAAATACCCTAAGTAGCCACAAAAAAGTTATTATTTCTGTACCATTTATTTCTGTTTTTGTAACTCTTCAAAATTATTTCAAATAATAGTTTCAGAACGCACCTAATGGCGACTCATTTCATGTATGAAAGGACTTGGTATTCAAAGACTATAATTATTTGCGTTTTTATGAATAGTTGTTAATTTTAATTCAATTCAATTAGTATGTAGACATCAAATCAACTACTATGCTGATTTATTATGAATTGGTTTCTTGTCATAAAAATAATAATATAGGTCATAGTAAGCTAAACGTTTTGTTCAATTATGTAAGTCAAAGATGTTTACATATATATAACGAAACGTCATTTGTCATCGCTTATGCCTATATCACACCTCCGCTGTGAAACAACAACTGCGAAACCGCTGCGTGAGCTTCTCTGTGCAACAGTACTTCACTTACGCGAAACTATACTAGCGAAACCTAAAACTAGAACGGTTGAGAAATAACAATCGAAAGAAAATGTCGTCGCTTTCGGAGTCAGAGGAGGAACTAATCTTACTCTGGTCACTTACTTTAAAAAGGCGTCGTACCTGGGTGCATGATATCAATAAAAAAAGAAGTTGGGAGAAAATATATTATGTAAAGAGTTACAGTCACATGAAGACCGTTTTTATTCGTACTTCAGAATGACACCAGACAGTTTTGAAGAGTTACATAATCTTATAAAGCCTTGTAGTACTAAACAAGATTTAGAGATGCTATTTCTAGCAAAGAAAGACTGGGATTAACTTTGAGGTAAGTACCTATATTAAAATTAGGGGAGTTGGGGGAATTGGGAGTCACTTAAGGAAAATTCGTTATTATAAACACTAATAATCAGTCTTATAATTTGTTCACATTTACTTATCTTTAAAAATTATTCAGGTATCGAGTTACTTAAGTATTTTTGGTTATCATTACCATAAACATAATTATAATTAAAAAACCAAAAAGTCATTTTGGCTCCTATTACCCACATGTAAGGGGAATGAAAGTCAGTCTATGAGGGAATAAGAGTCAAAATTATGAAACAAAAAAAGTAACAAAACTCTTTAAACAAACAAATAAGAATTAACAAAATCAAAACTTAGAAATGGTTACCCCATGGAATCATAACAAAGAATGGAATATAAATCGAGTTAAATGCAAAAATCACAGCGATAGCGATTTGGATCATCACATCCTGTACATGCCTCATGAGCCCATCCAGCACAGAGACGGCAACGGTACCAGATTTCTCTCAGTATTCCCTCCTCGAGGCATATCGTGCACACAGACTGATCACGCTCTTTCTGAGTATTTTTCTGGATGTTTAGCGGAATTTCAATATTTTCTAAGGCACTCTCGTCATACGGAACCTGTTCATCAGCCGATTTTTTCAGATGAACTTGACTTAAATAAGTTCTTTTTAATTTCTTTTATCTTCTTAATTACTTTGCCTCTTGTATGCAGTAAGAATTCCTGATTGATGTGTTTTTTTCCTATGCCTTTACCTTTATCAATGCTAGGCAGAGGTATTAGTTGTGAAAGTACGCTAGCTAGAGGTTCACTGTCGGATTTATTGTTCTCTTGATTTATAATATCATTTAGTTTATAATTTGTAATATCAACACTTGTAGAAGGTTGCGGTCCTATAACGTTCCTACTGCTAGTTGATGCTGTTGCTTCTGAAATTTTGTTAGTTGAATGGTTATCTGAAACTTCATTAACTCTTAAATCTGTTATGGTGGCAGAAATATTTTAAACACAGAGAACATCAGAGGATTTAGTCACTTCGGTTTTATTAAATCCTGCAATTCTCTGTATAATTACAGCTTCAGGATTTCGAATGCTTATTCGTAGATTTTTCTTAAGAAATCCTTGGATCCAGTCCCTGCCAGCCATTTTAGCATCTCTATTAAATTTATGAGATAGCTTTAAATTTTCAGCACATTGAAATGTTATTTTTCTTAGTTAATATGTCGTTAAACCAACAAACAACTTAATTGCAAAACACTTTCTGTAAGTATATTTTCTTGCTCTTCGTTAAAAACGGCATGCCTTCCTAATTTTAGAGGTTTAAATTTATCTTTCTTTATCCTTATTTGTAATGTGCTGAAAGGAATACGAGTTTCCTCGGCAACTTTGCGCATTCCCGCCTTGTCTCATGCATACAGCAGCTGACTGCAAGTCGCCTACAGTCCAACTCGCTTTAAAGGTCTTTCTAATCCAGTTCCTTGACGTCTGAAATGAACAAAAATGTTTATTTATAATGAAAAACGATGCGGGGAATGGGGGTCAACTAACTCTCATTACCCCAAGGACGGTTTGTTTGCTAGATTTGAATTATTAAATAAAAACACCAAAAAAATCTAATAAATTGCAATTATAAACATAAGTTTAGTCTTAGTACTATACTTTAAGATTATTTTATATGCAAAAGTAACAAATATAGATACTCACGTTTTCGATCGAAATTTCTAAAATTTTACAACAGCTCCTCCTCTATGACACATGTGTTATTCCTGATGACGCGAGCGTGAGTGGCGGGCCGGCTTATTGGCCAGTGCGGGAGGGGTGCGGAGCTACACCCCATGCGACAGAGCTGTATTCTGTACAGCTTTAGGTTCAAATCATTTTGAACTGACCCGCATTGCCCACTGACTACCATTCCCCCCTGGCTCCCCTAAAGTTACAAAATTAAAATTTAAAAACAATTATAACGATGAAAATTGAGAGAAATATGTAGATGTACTCAAATCAGTAGGTTCGGCGGTATTACTGTCATTACTTATCAAGGAGTAGTTTCCCGGAGTAACAAGAGCATGTATGTTTGTTGTATTACTGTCGTAAGAATCTTGATGTGCTGCCTCACTGTCATTTTGAGTAACAGGAGCATGCATGCTTGAGTATGTTGTTGTATGTGAAGATGTGTTGCTTCCCCAGTGGGTCCCCGGAGTAGCAGGAGCATGAATGGTCATATCATTTGAGTAGTTTGAAGTACGTGAAGACGTGTTTCTTTCAGCAGTCTCAAGATCATTAAGCTCAGCTTCCATCAATATTTTTGCGATATCAAATTTAACGTTTACTTGAGTCCGTTTGCTTAGTTTTTTAAAAGAGTCTGCATAACCCAAAAATAACAAATCAATACCGTCATATTTAACCGTAACTTTCTCATAATTAGAGTTTTGTTTCGTTCTATTTTCTAAGTACTCAACCATTCTGTCTGTGGGATTCATGTTTATTCTTCGCTGTCGCCTGTATATTTGATGTGATGAGCCGGATTGTTGTGTATTTTATGGTATCGTTGTCGCGTCGTAAGAAGTGGAGGGTGTAGATTGATTAGCTGACTCTTCATTTGCCACCGAAGAATTTGTACGGCTTGTTTCTTCGTGTTGAGAAGATTCATTATCCAGAATAATGCTGCTCTCCGTTTGATTGGGGGTAGTAGATGATTCAAGAAATGACATTTGTTCAGCCCAGGCTCAATTCTGTAGTTTTTTTGTTGCTTGGCCACTAGAGCTGTGTTTTGATTGCTTGAATTTTCTGAAAGTATCTTTTAAATTTTTCCATTTTGCTTTTAAAGCTGGAACTGAAACAAAGAAGATAACTAATTGATTCAGGCTACTGCGTTATTTTGCGGCATTACTTTGTATGCTTCCGCCACCACTGGTGGAGGAAGCATACAAACCACTGGTGCTTGTTTGCCACCTATAAATAGATATATTCATCACCTATAAATAGGATAAAAAATAGATATATTCAGCAACAGTTTTCTTCAACACAAGACACTATCTTTTTCTTATCGTATGGGTAATTCAACAGTTTTGAAAATAGTGACTGAAGTTTGTGAAGAATTGTGGAAAACGTTACGACCACTTGTCTTTCCAATACCCACAGAGGAAAATTGGCTGAATATGGCAGAAGAGTTTTTTGGGGATTTCCTCATTGCCTTGGTAGCATAGATGGAAAACACATAACCATAAAGTGCCCTCCGTGTAGTGGGTCAATGTTTTATTGTTATAAAAGTAAATAGGTTGTGGTAGATGCCAATTATAAATTTATTTTTGTAGATGTTGGATCATCTGGGAAAGATGCCGATAGTACTATATTTGAAGCAACATCTTTTGCCCGATTAATAAGGAGCGGCAAACTTAATATACCAAATCCACAACCATTACAAGGAGAAACAGATTCTTTGCCTTATATTTTTTTAGGCGATGGTGGATTTAAACTTGAAACTTTTTTGATGAGACCTTTTGTAAGAGATGCAGCTTTGCAAGATAGAGATAAAAAGATATTTAATCAGTCGCTTAGTACAGCACGGGTAGTTGTGGAAAATGCATTTGGAATAATGGCACAAAAATTTAGGATATTCTGAAGACCCTTTAAAATAGATTTGAGAAATACCATAAAAATTGTGAAAGCAGCTTGTTGTTTACACAATTTCTCTGGTTTGGAAACTGAACAGCTTGGAGCCTTTCTTCCACAAAACAGACTCAATGGAAACCGCGCACGATCATCATTTGCGGCATGCGACATCAGAGACAAATTTGTTCGATACTTTGCACAACGCAGAATAGATTATTGATATGTATACCTTGTAAATAATAAATAATTATACTTACCTTCTTCGTTTAACTCTCTCTGGATATCCCTCAAAGCTTGTAGTTTTTTTGTGTTGTTTTTGTAGTCAGGGTGATTTATTAAGTACCAAACAGGTCTATTTCTCACTGCTTGTAGAAGTTTTTCAGTAAATTCCAAATCCATTGTTCCTATTTCGCTCATAAAAATTGTCGATTGCTACAGACGCGTCCGAGTTACACGCGGAACCGCTCCAAAATGGCGGACAACGGGCGGAGATGTAGACGGCGCCTGAGCAAATGAGCGCAATCATGTTAGAAAGATACAACATCATAGTCAGTTTTGTACGTTTTTGTTTCGCGAGCAGGGAATTTCGTTATTGTTTCGCCGCCAAAAAACTCACAACTCACAGCGAAACTATTGCGGTTTCACCCTTTGAGTTTTACAGTGGAGGTGTGCTACATGCGTTAATCTGTTGTCATCGATCCGCGCAGCGTGGAAGGAAGGAAATGACTATAATGCGCACACCGCGCCATTATTGTCATTTCCTTCTGTTGTTTGACCTCGGTATTGTTTTACGGACGGATTTCATGGAAACAAGACCTTGACGCAGTAACCGTCGACGCATTTACAACAGACTGGCATAACTACTACTTCTATGCGTTTCCGCCATTTTTCCTGGTACTAAAATGCCTTAGAAAAATAATTGATGACAATGCACACGGCATATTAGTTTATCCTGGCCATCTGGCCATCACAACCATGGTTTCCATTATTGCTGAACCTTATAGTTTCTGATGTCATTTATTTAAATCCCAATAAAAATCTCTTACAATCTCATTTCGAAGAGTGTCACCCCATGCACAAGAACCTTATCCTGGGTGTCGCGAGGCTCTCCGGCGAGGCGTTCAGCCGATGGGGTTTTAACCCCGGCCGCGAGTTTGGCCGGGGTTAATATAGAAACTATTCGCAAAACCGCTGGGTGGACTTGTTCATCTAATTCATTCGCCCGTTTTTATAACAGGTCTATTGTAAATGAAGGCGAATTTGCTAGGCAAGCAAATAGAGTCGTGATTGTGATGTTTATATAATAAAATTCTTACAATGATAAACTGTAATGTTTCTTAGTATTAAGTTTGTCTTAATCAATGCTTAGAGGTTTATGTTAACTTCACTCGGAAGTTCGTTTGATCATATATTATACTTTTTTTAAAGAGCATATTCTATTCTTTACCTTACCATATCTTAATAATCTATAATAAGCGGTAAAGTTGTTTTTTTTTTTGAGAAAACTAAACTTTGTGCTACAAAATCAGTAAATGATTCAAAAAGAAACATATTTCGTCGTAGATTTCGCGGAACGTGGGTCAGGCAATGTATGGGAGAGGCCTATGTTCAGCAGTGTACATTCCATAGGCTTTGAATTAATGAAGACGTATTTCCATCAAAACCAAGACATCAACACGAAAAGTTCCTTGGTGGAATACCAAGCTAAAAGAACTTAGGGAAAAGACCGTGAAACTAAATAATAGGGCTAAAAAAACCAAAGAGTGGAATATTTATGGTGCAGCCCTAATTGAATATAATAAAGAAAATAGGAAAGCGAAGAGAGCATCGTGGAGGGAGCTATGTGAGGAAGTTGATTTTTTGCTTCGGAGTACAAGACTACACAAAATACTATCGAAAGCTAAATCTAATCAGATCGGATTTCTTAAAAAGCCTGGTGGTAACTTCACTAATGGTGAAACAGAAACTGGAATTACTAGCGTCAACCTATTTCCCAGAATCACGTAAGACTTCTGCCTTAAATTCTTTCAGAGCCCTACGAAGGCCTTCTAATGAGGACTGGTGTATGGCTGCAAAGATAATATAAGGCCAAACCTGGTACAGTGGGCTGTTGACTCCTTTAAGCCATTTAAGACAAGGGAGGGGGGGAGAGGATGGAATAATTCACATCCAACTACAGAGGGGTCTCGATATTCTTCTTCCTTATCTGGTGAAAATCTTCAGAGCAAGTTTTGAATGGGTATATATTCCAGAACAGTGGACAATTATCAAAGCTCTATTTATACCTAAGGCTGGTAAAAAAGACTACGCTTCACCAAAGTTCTTTAGACCTATATGCCTTTCTTCTTTTCTTCTCACGACATTGGAAAAGGTTACAGATAGATATAGAAGTGATGTAGCTCTAACTACGAGGCCCAATCATTGCAACCAGCATGCTTACTGCAAACGCAAATCTACGGAAATAGCCCCGATCAGTGTTATTGGCAGGGTCGAAAAAGCAGTGGAGGATAAAGAACTCTTTGTGCCTTTCTAGATATTGAGGGCGCCTTCAACAGTAGCCCCATATCACTGCTGATTGGGGACCTGACATCTAAAAATGTTGACCCCACAAACTTCAGCTGGGTGAAGTCGATGCTCCAAAGAGAAAGGCAAAAATGGCGCTGTTTTAAACTTGGCTTGAGGTTGCAACTACAAGAGGATGCTCAAAAGGAGATGTTTTGTCACCCCTTCTTTGGACTCTTGCGGTTGACCAATTATTGTAAAAAATGCAGACCTTCGCATTGACAGACTAGATTATGCTGATGACCTTGTAAACATTGCGAGGGGCTTATGCCAAAGTACTTTATCGTTAATCATACAAAGAACCCTAAACACGATAAATAACTGGTGTAGAGATAACAATTTATCAGTTAGTGCTGACAAAACTGTTATATATACCCTTTACCAAAAAGAGACGGTTGGACAAATTAGTCACACAAAAACTCAATGGTAAAGAAGTATCATTTTCCACTGAAGTTACTTAGGCGATTGTTACGCCATAAACTAACTGGAACTCTCACATTAGCAACGCAAATAAGGCAAAAATTACTTTAGGTATATGGAGTCGTTTATTGCTGTAAAGCTTGCGTCCCAGTATGGCTGTAAAGTAGCACAGTGAGGCCAATACTCACCTACGCCTGGTGCAACAAGGCCACTGTCTGGTGCAACAAGGCCAACCAAAAGACAGACAGACTAAATAGTCTACAAAGAACTGCCTGCTTAATAGCAACTGGAGCTATGCGATTATTGTCTGGAGCAGCTCTTAATGCAATGCACAGAGCGGTATGAGCTTGCTCTCGTACAGATTGAGATTCATGCTCGACTCAATTAAGGAAACACCGGTCTTACGCATGATCTCAGATATCATACGTCCATTATACTAACTGGAACTACCCTCCAGAGAAGACTGGCTGAACGGCCAGGTTATCTGTGAGGTCGGTAGTTTCATATGGTGTACCGATGGGTGATGGGTGTACGGATGGGTAAAATGGGCCTCAACGTAGACTTTGGAATTTATGGGGAACGCCCCAAGTTCAAACTTAGTATGAATTGGGGTAGATTCATCTCTATCTTCCAGGCAGAAATTTTCGCCATACTTCAGTGTGCGGAAATCAATCTGCAAAAACAATACTTTATCCATATAATTTATATAAACTCTGATAGTCAAGCAGCACTGCTAGCGCTGAGGTCAAACTTAGTGAACTTGAAGCTAGTTGGAGACTATTTGAACAATTTAAACGCCCTGGGATGAAACAACAGGGTCATCTTAAGATGGGTTAAGGTCACGCGGGTATTGTAGGCAATGAATTTGTCGACAAACTCGCACGGGAGGACTCAAAGAGTACATAATTTGGTATTGGTACATAATTTGGACCTGAGCCATTTTCTGGAATCTCAAGAAGCCAACCCAATTGACCCTTGAAACTTTTTATCACTATAAATCACTTAAGATCTGGTCTGACACACCAGGCTTAAAAGATTCTAAAACCTTAATCTGGGATTCGATCGTAAATTCGCTTCAGAAGCCCTGGGATTAAGCAAAAATGAATTGCGCATTCTGGCAAGAGCCCTAACTGGACTGTTTTCTTAAGGCCCCAGTCTTGTAAAAATTAGTGTTCGCGCAAAATTTACAGCAAAACAAAAGTTATTTATAGTATTTAAAAAAAGAAAAAGTGAAACATATTTTACATTTATTTAAAGTGTAGGATTTGATATTTTCGAAACTGTTTTTTAATTTCATTTTGGTGTTTAAATTAATAGCTCTATTAGGCGTTAAACATGCCTATGTTTAGGTTACATGCGTAAAAGGTCTTATAGAAGCCCATGATATGTACAAACTATAACAATATCAAGAAAAGTATTCAGATACATTTTTTTACACATTGTCTACAATAAACTGATCTGGTCACCTTTTTTACAAATGCTTTAATTTTCTTATTTGAAGGGCTTAAAAAGTTGTAATTTCATCATTTTTTTAACTGCAAATATCTATTTTTTTCTATTAGAAGTATAAATGTAGCAAAGTCGTACTTAAAACCACATAAAATAGAACTATTTTCAAGTGAATTAGAAATTAATAAAATTAAAAAATACATATTTTCGTACTTTTTACCTATATTCCATTTATAAACCAGAAACGCCTGAAAATTCTCTCAGTTCCGCTGGGATTTCTCGGCGTTCAGACGTGTGCAGTGTTGCTCAACGTTACTTTACCTCTCGCTCGCACAGTTGATCTCTTTCCCTCGCGCAGCTTTTATGGACTGAGCGGAGCATATCATGAAATTTGCTTTACTTAAATATATTTTATTTTTATTTAATTGTCATATTAGTTCCAGTTTTCAGTTTTTAGTTTTTAATGTTTATATTAGTATTAGATTAATTGACTTGGACTTTTATATTTGGAGAATTTTGATTTTTACCCAAAAAAAATATGGAAAAAGATGCATAGAAAAAAAATAACAAATATCGTCGTGTCAGTAAAAAGAAATGTAACTCAAGAGTTGAAGTGATGAGTGAAGAGTTTTGGGAAACAACAATGCTGCTCCGTTTGACAAAGTTTTATCACAGTTGTGTGCTAACAGGATTAATTTATTCGCACCTTGAACGTTCTATGCCGATAAAAGACCCACCGTATATAATAGAAGCAATAGAAAATAAAAAACATAAAAAATCCCCAAAAAGTTAACCCCTACACAATATTACACCACTCATGTAACAAACTAAATAAATAAGTACTTGTTTCTTGTTCTGGCAGTCTTTGTTTCCATTTAAAGTCATTATGTCCTATATTTATTTTATTCTATTTATTTAATATATTATTACATTCATTATTTACACATTACGTTACGGTACAATCATAA